GTGGTGGCAGTGGTGGTATGCGGTGGTTGTGGCGGCTACTGCTGCCATTGCCAATGTCAGCATCTTCATCGTGATCATGTGCATGCATGTCATTATTGGCATGTTTGTCGTTGTTGTCAATATACATTTTTTTCCCATGACTTCTGTTTCAAAGCTTCCGGTTGCCAGCCGCATCTTGGTTCTTTCGGTCAAATGCCTGGTAGCGGCGCTCCATGGCAGGTCATTGCCAACGAGGTGTCGCCAATGATTTGGTCCTTGAAGCTCCGGCATGCATTTGGATGTGGCGTTTGTGGATCGGCCCACAGAGAGCGATTTTTTGGGGATTTGTGTCAAAGTGACTGAAGGCCTCATGGGGCCGGGAGGGAGCCCAAACTAGCTCTTAAGCCCTTCACAGAGCCTTCTTTGGGCTCCCGACCTCCCCTCCCCTCCCCAGCCCCCGCCGGGTCCGAAACCGGGGCAGGTTTGACGGAAGGCTTGGGGACAGCCTGAGTCCGTGGTCGGTTCCCGAAGAGAAACATGTATGGAACGCGGTTTTTCTCGGGTTGGGGTTCGGGATGCGCCCCTTTTTGGATTGCTTTTACCAAACGCAAACCCAATGTGCCTTACGCATGCGCCAGCTGAGGAGTGCTTGGGGCTCTGAGAAAGAGAGACGCCGGGATCTTGGTGCTCTAGCAGCAAGCTGCGCCATTTCCCGGGCTTGGCCGTTGGCCTCGCATTCAGCCAGTCCGTCCTTATGGGAACCCCGGATTAACAACCCCCAGCTGAACAATAGGGGGTGTTCCTGGTCTAGTGGGGAATCATCACTTGTAAGAGGGACACCCCACCCTATTAATAGGATGGGTGTATTAATCCGGGGTCAAACTTAGTGTGTCCTCGCCCTGTGTTTTGCACCGTGAGGCTTTGGTGAGAGGCCCAGCTACTCCAAGGGCTCCGAGCGCGGATGCGCTACTTGCGCGCTTCGGGTTTTGAACTCGGGACATCATGTTGTTGTTCAACGTGGGAGTCAGTCTCGGACAATTGGATGGTCTTGACAAGGGAAGCCAAAGAAAAGTGTTGTCAACTTTAGCTGGGTGCACTTATTGTTCTGCCTTGCTCACAGCCAAGCCAGTTGTTGTTGAGCTTTGTTGTACTTGTTGTTGTTTTTTGGTAGTACCTGGTTGCCCACAGTAAAGGTCAACGCTTTGAAACCCTGGAATTTGAACTGTGTGGGGGTCCATAGGCCCTTTGAAGACAAACCCATTTCTCCAATGGGTCCCGGAATGAAGAGAAAACATGTGAGCGGCGCCCAAAACTCTGTATTGGCCATTTTAGGTTGGTCGACTGCCTGGTTTAACGGGGGGTTGCAATAAGAGTTATGAACAAACTTGGCAGCCACAAGATGCCAGGCGCTAGTTTAGGTGGATGCCAAAGGGAAACCCACCATAGACCAACTATTTTGAGAATCACGCTTTCACAACAGGTCCAGCCCTTTGGTAGTTTGGATTGTTTTGGATTAGGATTTGAACCCCCGGTTCTTGTGGTTCCCGAACCAAACCTGACCTCGCCTCACCTAACCTCCAAACCATCTATCCTCCCTCCAACAAACCGGGCTTTTGGAAGTCCACGTCCGCTCCCATTCCCATGACTGAGGATAACCTCCAAACCACCAATTTCCAAACTGAATTGAGTATCCCCGCCTTACATGGACTTGGAGGCCCCTGCCCTTTTGCACGTAAACCAGCCACACCACACGAAGCCATGCTGGGACTGACCGTCAATTGACTTCTTCACTCCGCTTTGGGCTGCAAAGGGAAAGCAGCAACATGGTTGCTCCATTTCTGGAGGTCCAACCGAGCAAGAACAGATCGCTCTGCCCAACAAAATCACGTGTTCCCCCCCGAAACACGTCGACTTGTTCCCCTAAAGAAATGACCGCGGAGTTGGCGCTTAAGCCAAACAAAAGCCATCACCGGGGGCGCTTGGCGCAAGTTCCAATCGCCAGGCGCCGGCCTGGAGCCGAGGCACTTGCTACTCAGCCAGGGCCCCCAGAGCCGAAGGCCGGCGAATTCCAGGGCACCCGAATCTGATCTTCCATCCCACAGATGGAATGTTTGTCGGAATGTAACGATCTTTTCTCATCTGTCTTTTTTTCCCCAACCGCTGAAATCTTTGGGGTCGATAGGCCCAGATAGGCTCCGGGGTGGTCCGGGGTGGCCCTGAGGGAAGGTTCCACAGGGTTCCACCAGGGCTCCACCAGGGTTCCACCAGGGTTCCACGAGGGTTGCACCAGGGTTCCACGAGGGTTCGACGAGGTTCTGCGAGGGCTGCGGGGTGGTGAGAGCACTAAAAAGAGCTCCGCATGCTGTTGGGGATATCACCTGAGCGTATTGGAGTTGGTGCCCCTTGTGTTAAAAGAAAGCTAAAGGGAAACACCCACGTAGATGTTTGCTTATGTGTTTGTTGGCTAGACATGGAATTGTCCATGGATACGTTTTGCAGTCACCGATTTCCCTGCAAGCATGAGCTCGGACCCGCGGGCAATCTTGTTGGCGATTTGTGAATCGAGCCGCCACTTTGCAGTTTATCGTATATTCTACTTAGATCAGAGGATAGAGCCATCACAGCTGCCTCTCGTGATTTTCAAGGTTTGTTTCTTGGCCAAAAAGAAGCGTCTTTGCATCGACTGCTTGATGAGAGTAAGTGACGTGCAGTGAACAATGACAAGTGCACATGTAATCGGCAAGAGCATATGTGCATTACCCCCCAACCCCCCCTCAAACCCCGCCAGTCTGAATTTCTGAGCAATTGCACACATGCGAATCTCCGAATCGCCTGAAAAATGCTTTGTGATGTCCTTTCAGCGCTTGGGCTGCACCGTGACTTTTCAGGCGAGCACACATTGGGATGTTCGGCCTGAGCAACTCGCAGCCAAGAGTCAGGATTCCTTGAGAAGTATGCCAAACTTGGCCAACGAAGGGAGGCAACAGGACTCTGTCACAGCCCAGCGACATGGGGGTTGGAGCTTTCAATCAGTTTTTCTTCCCAATTTTTGTCGAACCCTCCACACCTCATGGGTTGCATGTGGGGTGCTTCACAGATGTTCTAGACCCTTCAGTTGTTTTTTTGTTCTCTATTCGCATGTTTTGTCGGGTTTTATTGTGAGACACACCGAGGTGACGAGTACATCCGGCACATCCTCATCTTGGGAAGGTTTCTCGAGCTGGTGCCCTGGCTTAGAAGGTCAGCTTTGATTGCTTTTTTTAAGGACCCAGCCCAAAAAGCAAGCAACGACAGCACAAAAAAAGCAAAGCCGTGGTTTCTCTTTGGTTTCCCTCTAGAACCACCCCCCAAAGAAGCCATGACTCTTGTGGAGCCAGTAGGGGGTCCCTCAAAAGAATCCAAAAGAATCCACGATTCAAACGGATGCCACGCCAATAAGATCTGCTGAGCCTTTGGTCGACCGGATTTGATTTGCCTCTAGGTTTGACACCCCTTGGCCGAAGAGGGTTTTGGGGTGGCTTTCCTTTCTGCGACTTGCCCAGAAAGGATGGGCCGGCGGCAATCATGTGGGCAGGACATGTTTTCAGGTGGTACGCTTCCTGTTGTGCTGGACAGCTTTGGGGCTTCGAAGGACTCCAGTCAGATTGGAAAGTGGGATCTCCTCTTGCAATGGTCGGATTCCTTGCTTTCCTATATGGCCATGAATGTAAAACAAGCAACCCCCTGGAAAATGGTTGCTGGACACAAAACTCCAAATGATGTCCACCACAAAATTTCCCTAAATGAAATTCATGCCCATATGGCCTATAGTGTGTGTGTATATATATATATGTATATATGTCAACACTAGGCGACTCTCTCCGAATTCTTGCTTCCATGTTCGACACCCGCCTGGTTCTCGGCGATCGATTTGAGGCCGCCGGAGGCCGCCACAAAGCCGCTCGGCGCGCGCTCTTGTTTTTTTCTTCGTGAGCGCGGAGGTGCAGGTCTGGTTGGTTTCCTTGGCATCCGTTTTCTCGAAAAACCAAAAAAACAAAAGCAAGAAACAACGGGACATCCCATCCTTGGGCCCTTGAAGTCCTTGACGTCCGGTGTCGAAAAAGCAAAAAGAAAAACGGAAAATCCCTGGGAGTTGGAAGGAAATAGCTGCGTGCTTGGGCTCCGCTGCTCTCAACCATATGATTCCTTTTGGACAGGAAGTACCAAGCTATATTTTTGCCCCAGGGCGTAGTGTATTTTGCTCTCTTCGGGCCCAATGCACCAACAGTGTTGGGGAAAACAGCTTCCCATTTTCACATATGTATCTTTTGCAGGCAACAGGGACGCAGATACTCCTGGTTGATTCGAGGGTGCAATCCATTTTAGAGTAGAAGGGATCCTGTTCACATTTTTCGAGGTGCCATTCCCCCCGTCCGCAATGTTGATGAATCTGGGGTCGACTTTGTGGGTTTTGGATATGGAGGCCCACACACCACAACAACAATAAGGTTGTGAGGGAACGAAGCCCTTGTATATGTAATCTCCATACCTGCAAAGATCGTGCCTCAGAATTCCCATCATCATTTGAACCCAACGCGGCCGGAACCCCATTGGGGCGACACTTGTGCGGTCCATGGGAGAATCTGGGAGATTCCACCTAGGGCCCATAGGAATCTTCGGAACGACAAAGCCATTTGGATGCGCCAAGTCACAGCTACCCTCCCTCCAATAATAATGGAAGCTGACACGAGGGTTCTGGAAGACTACTTTCCTTTTGAGGAATCCCTTTGTCCTCTTCCATGCTTGTTGGAAAGAGGGTAAGAAGCGTTGACCGCTCGCTTTTCGCAGAGCAAAGAGCCTCAAAGTACAATGGGGATGTCAAACGACATAGTTCACACCTTACTTTGCCACTACCTTCAACTCATGACAGGCGTAGTATTTGATAGACTTCACCACTAGCATGCTCCTAGAAAACGCATTGCTGCAAAACCACCAGGACTGCAAGCCCATAGCCTTCACGTGGCGAACTCCTCTCCCGTTTGTGCTTTTTAACATGACCTTTGGGAGAGGCCAATGAACATTTGGCGGCTTTGGGTGGCTAAGAGGAGAATCGGGAGCCGCGGTTCCCGAGCCGACCTTGGCCTTCTTCGGAGCCCATGGCCGAATGGACGGTCGTGCACATCGAGCGGCCCTTCAAGGGCCGCGCGGAGCCCATGAAGCTGCTGCTGGAGGAGACCATGCCCCGAGGTCATTCAGAAGATCCGCCCTGAAGCAAATGAAGACCGTCATTTTTGCCCAGCTGGTGATGTGCATTTTCGAGACTCGTGGTTTTGAAGCCGAAACGGGCATTGCTGCTAATATCTTGTTTGCTGACGGCACAGTGAGCAAATCGCTCCCTGGCTGTTGGGGTCATACCTCTCTATTTGGGGTTGTCAGGGGTGTGCTAGTTCCTAAACAACGGCTACCTGAAACTGGATGCGCAGAGTTCCCTCCAAAAGTTGATAGATGGATTCCTTTTCGCGTACAAAAGGCAACAGGACCCTGGAGGATGCTGGGGTAAACTACTCAGTGCGGAATGAGCCCGTGGACTCTTTGCTCCCCTTCGACATGTGGCGAGACGTGGATAAGGACAGGTGCACAGGGCGATCGGGGCACATCAAGAAAGCGGTTTACCATAGTTACACACCAAAACCACGGTGGTAAATCCCAAAGTGGGTGACAACCACATGTTACCGACCATTTTCTAAGTACCCCTCCTTCTCAGGGATCCAAGGAGATTGAAATCCGTTTTGGGCTTTTCCCTTCTCAGCAGGTGTCAGAGTTTCTGGCAGAGAAACACAGCGACTGGGACATCCCCGCTCCTACGCAGTCCTTCTGTTTCTTTGCGCAACTTAACCCGCTTGCACAACAATTGTTTGTTCTCTGCTTAGATCAGGACCTGCTTTCAAGGGACGCCAAAAAGATGCTGGCCAAGGAGTTGTTGCTCAAACGTTGCGAATAGCAGCGACCTCAAGCAGACTTTTGGCACCTCCCAGATGAAGGTTCATTTGGGGGCGAATGACATGTCAAGGTTGCTGCATTCTTCACTCGCAAAACCTGTTCACATGATTCGGCCCCTCCCCTAATTTCCCCTTCTTCCTGGCTTGCTCCACACAAGGCCTTTTGGCCTTATTTACGTCTTATTTGGGGGAACAGGGGGAGGGGTGGGGTGGGCGGTTGCCATTTCGGGGCGTGGAGGTAGAGCTGGACAGCACGCCATTCCCAGTTCTGTTTCCTCCTGTCCTTTGGCACCGGCCAGCGCACGGCGAGGAGGTCTACATCAACAGCCGCCCTGCTCTGTTGGCATCGTTTTCTTCCCCTCCTCACAGACCTGCGGTAGTTTTGTGAGCTCCCCTGCTCATCGTGTCACCCATGAAGGTCCCCTACTTAGGGATGGTGCGTTCTAGAGCTGGATGGTGAATCATAGTGTCCAGTGCAGGTGTATCAGTACGTATATACGCTGTACATATTTCTACATACACATGGCCGTTGTAAGTTGCAAGTCTTAAATGGCAGAAAGGGTGGTCCTGAGTGTCTGCTGCGAAAGGAACATGCTGCATCGCGCAAGCATCAAGGATAGCATTTTTCTCCGTGGAGTTGTACCGTCGAAATCCGAGAAAAACCGAAGAAAACGCGAAAGGAACGCGACAGAGTGTGAGCTTCCAAAGTGGGGCCTAGCCCTTCAACCAGAACCAAAGTGCCGCTTCCAGCTGTTCATCGTCAGGTGGCTGGTAGAAAGCATGTGCTCGAATGCAAAAGTGTAGCCGCAGGTGTTGACTGAACTTCCCACAAGTGTTCCTCTTGGCCACCAGTTTGGCGCAGGTGGTGTGTCTTCATCCTTTGATCTGTACTTAGTTTAGCTTAGCAATGGGTGAATGCTCTGAATCCCTTGGCTTCCATACCCCTCTTCTGTGTTCTACGTAGGGGTGTGTGGCTCAAAAAACCGGAATGTCAAAATGGCTGGCCCTGGTAAGTGGAAACATGGACCAAAACCTGCGGTTTGCCCCTCCTGTTTATTTTTGAGCCACACCCAGGTGTGTGTTTGGGTTCTGTTGGAGTGAACGTGCGTTGCTTTCAGCCCACTACGCCTGCCTGCGGTATCTGGGGCGCTGCCTGGGCTACCAGCCCGCGTCTGCGGCAGAGACCGCGCGCGCAGATCAGATCCTGCAGAACGCAGTGGACTTTTGGTGGCTTGAACAGTTTTTGGTGTTTTCGCTCCTGGACTTTTGGTCGACTTGTACTTGTTAGTGGCCTGTTGGACTGGTTGGATGGGTTCTTGGTAATTTTTTAGTGGACGTTTGATCCTTTAAGTAGCCCTTGGGCTGTTTTGTATTCTGAATTCAATGCCTACCAGGTTGCGATCTGAGGTGCAACCGCTGGCCAGTTTTTCAGATTGGTGAGCCGATGTATGGCCAGGTTTAACACATGACCTCCCCCTGGTTGACCTGTGCACCTGCGGGCGTAAATCCATTGGTTTCGCAGAGCCCAGCAACTTGTGCTTCTTGTTGGTTTGTTTTCTTGTTTGATCCTAAATGGATTCTGTTCATCTTAGTGGAGGGTGTGGAAAAGTACGATCTGTTTTCTTCCTCACGAAGGCTGAGGGAGGGCCGACGTGCTTCCACTGGACCCTTGGGGGGGCTTCATGTGCCAGAAGGACTGAGGTGTCCTTTCCTCATAGATACGCTGAGTGGTTCTATTCATTCTAGTGGCGGGGGGGGGGGAACGTTTCGTTCCTCGCTTGTTAAATCTCGGGGGTCTGAGGTGGGAGGGCCGAATGAGCTTCCACCCGCTGGACTCCTCTCACCGGGGGAGCTACTTGTCCCAGAAGGACTGGGCTGTCAGTTCGGCTGCGAAGATTGGATTAATCTTGTTTTACAAAGACGAAGAAATAGGGTCTCGGTCTTAGGACACCTGAAAGAGGCTCATTCATTTTGGGTTTTCAGGTCTGGATTTCTGGCTCATGATACGTGAGTGGGTGGCCTTTCGGTCTCCTGTCCAACATAAGGAGACCTGTTTTCATCCAGTCTAACCACGGGTCACCAGTTTGTCAGTTTTGGCGACGGGATTTTGGATGCGGACCCAGGATGATAGCTGGAATCCAATCTTGCAGGGGATCCGTCACTTTGGAAAGAGCCCCCTGAATCCGCCAGGTCGATCAATTGATTTCGTGATTTTCCCTCAACCGCTGAAAGCTATGGGGTCTCCGCCCGAACAAGCGGACGGGTTTTTTGGGGGCAGCTTTCAGGGAAGGTCCCGGAAGGGGTTTGGCTAGGGATCCTGGGCAGATTTTTGAGACCACAATCGGGTAGCCAGCGCCGGACGCCATGGAGCACGGATCCGGTGCCTCTACCCTGTGGTTCCCTGTTTTCAATATCAGTGTACAACACCTGCTCATTGGGCATAGCGAAGCATGGAGATGTCAACTGCAAGACTTCTCCAATCGGACGCATATCCGAGATTTCTGGAATCCCGTTGCGCAGCTTTCCAGACGGCTCTTTGGTGAGTTGACTGGAGTTCTTGCCAGGAGGAGGGGGACAAGACTTCGTTGGCCTGGAGTTCTGGACGCATGCAGATCTGGCTGCAGCACTTTGAGAAGCTGGTGAAGCGTTTTGGCCCGGAAGGCCCGGTGGCGGGTGGGGCTGCCGTCACCTACGCCGACTTCATCTTGTGACTTACCCCAAAAACGTGGGGAGTTGCGCCGAGGGAAGGGTTTTCCCCTTTCAGATCTGAAAGCAAAACAGAAAGGGGGTACCTGTGGTACCCAGTACCCCTTTTGGGGTTCATGTTACAAAATTGGTGGGCAGGGCATGTTTTGAATCGACCTTGTGGAACATGACGTGTTGGCTATCAAATGGCGAAGCGTGGAGCACAGGTTGCGGGAGTCCCTTACCGTATGCGTCTCCCAACGCAAAGGCTTGGGCAACCGGAAACGCCTGTGACATCAACCAACCAAGACTATAGTCTCTCCCAATTTGGTAGTTTGCAAACAGGCTAGGTTTGCAATATTCAGAACTCAGTCGTCTCTCAGAAGGTAGTCTCAACACAACATATTGCTTCAAACAATAGTCTTAAACAAGGCAAGTCTGCGAATATGGCCTGGCTGGGCTGTTCAAAGGCAATCCTTAATCCTGGGGTGAGGAAAGGAGTCCCCTTGTCATGTTTTATTTGGGATTGGCGATTGAAGCCCATGCTTTGTGAAATCGGGAACCCTGAGGAACCCTAGTGATCTCAGCTACGTGCCCACCTCGCGTGGGGATTCAATATAAACGTACGCGTTGTTTTATTATTTGTTTTTTTATTATTTTTTTTGGTTCTGTTTGCGCGTTGAACCAGCGCGCACTCCGCTCAGGTTTCACGCGCTGGATGCTGCAGAGGCTCAGTTCAACACGGAGTTCTACGGCCACGCCTGGGACGCGGCCCAATGCGGCGGCTTGCAGAGCTACAAGGCCTACATGGCGCGCCGGCCCCGGCTGCAGGCGTACATGGCCTCGGACAGGCGTGGCCCCCCAAATTGTCTACGACGCGTTGAAGTTGATCCCCCTCCTAAAAGTGTTTGATTTTCCATGTGTGAAGCATGCTGGAGCAGGTTTTGTTGGTCTTTCCCAACTTTTGAAAGCGCAATAGTCACAACGGCTGGAAGTAAATTCCTCCGATGCAGGCGCAAGCCCTGGGCGGGGGACTCGATGTGCTGATGCCGAAGTCCGCAGCCGCGCGAGGCCACCAGTGCTTTGCAATATGGAGAGAAAAAGCTCCGCACCAGGCACCAGGGCTCTGAACAAAGGACTTGTTATTTCATGGTGATCTGCTTGTTCCTGTGGCTTTTCAAAAGGCGATGCGAACATTTATGAGGGCGCGAAAGCAAGATTGAACAGTCTTTGTGCACCCAGCTTAAACCTACCAGTGTTGAAATTGCAATTAGTTGTACTGCCCATTCGATCCAGGGATAAGTCTCATAGAAAATGCCCGACCACCAGAAAACACTGTCTGGTTTCTGAAGCAAGCGCTGGTTGAAAAACTTTGGGAGAAATGGCCAAGCGATGCTTTCACGGGATCCAGGAGGCCGGCCTGCCGCTCATTGGGGTGGCATTTGTTTTGCCCATGCGTGGACTTGTTTTCCAGCCGTGGTTGATGGGTGAAGAGAATGGGTTTAGGCAGCCAATGTAATGTGTCAACGCCCGGAACCGGAGCCAAAATTGAGAGAAATCGGGGGGGGGGGGGTTTCCCGGGTCCGGGCCCTTGTTAGGGGGTATACCCCATCATTTGCCTTTGAGCCAATGCGGGGACTCGGACGCAGCCAAATGAGGTCTGGAATCCCAACCGAAGCCTTATCCGAGCCAGCCAACATGGCCACTGATTGCCTGTATCATTCTTGGCAGGAAGGGGCGTGGACGTGGGGATCAGCACCTTAGGGAAGCGAGATGGACCGCAGGGTCTCTTTCAGACTTAGAATGTCCCCCCTGAATCTGAAAGTTCTGAGACTTGGTTCTTCGCCTCGCGTCCCGAGGTTTGGGCGCGCCAGGGCGGCAAGGCGTTGCTCCTGGCGCCCTCCGTGTCCGTGGCGCTGTGTCTGGCCCGAGGAGCGATTCGACTCGAACCGCGTCGGAGCGGCCGAAACGGGCTGAGCCCGGGCGGTTGCGGTGGACTCGTTGGTTTGTGGCTGGCTTACTCCTGCTCATTTGGCTGCAAAGGGTAGTCAGATGTAGGAATAGATCTGCCAAGTCACGGTGAACATAGACACAACTTTTCTCGGATGGGTATGAGGCATCCATTTACATCGCTGGACCTGCACGAAGCCTCGGAGTGCCCACGTAGCTACAGTCAACATTTGCTGTCATCTATGAAGGGGACGGACATACGCTTTGGAAGTAGAGGTTACCCACGTTTGTGAAGGTTAAGGGCTCCTTGACTCTGCTGTTCACCCTCATTCAAAAAGTGTGTTTGCTCCTGTTCCAACAGCCATCAGCTGCCCCCTATTTGGAAAACTGGGGCAGGGTCCAACGTTCAAGATGGTTGGAACACGAAACATGCATATCTGCAATCATAGCGAGCTCACTCTGAGTAAAATGACATCAGCTAAACCGTGCTGAAGCAAGGTTGGTGTTCAAGGGTATAGCTTTGTAAGTGTTATCAACCTCACCAACTACGGAACTCACTTGAGTATCAGCAACCCCTGTTCCGGTTCCGCGCGTGCCCCTGTTTGTGACAAGTAAGAAAGGGGCGCGCCCACAATAATGAATTGAAGCAAGCTGCAAAAAGCTCACACCCTCCGCCCCCCAAGCACGTCATTCACGCCTCAGCGGCGCAAACCCTCAAGCAAGGTGGTAGCATTGTTCCAGGGGTCGCTTTGATCCTTTTCCAATACTTTGTCCTTCACCATCCTCACCCTGTTGCCCAAACCTCCTTTTTTTGTAGGAGAGGGGCGGGGGTCGGCCACAACCTTAACGTAATTCTCAAATCGACCAGCTCAAAACCCTTTTTCCAAGACCCTTTTTGCCCAGAGCTTTCCAGTGGACGCCACCCGTTTGCCGACGCCTCGCCCGATCCGTTTTTGGACGGATCCGTCAGGCGCGGCGCACCTCTTTGGCCTAGGCTTCGATACCCCGCTGGGCGTGCCCAGCTCCGAGGGCACCGATGGAGGCGCGCGGCCAAGGTTTCTAGGAGTTGGTTCCATTCATGTAAATACTGTAATGTTGTGTGATTCAGACTAATATGAGTAGATATCACGTTGTTGCATGGTAGAATATCTTGTTTGTGGTATGCTCATACTCAGGTTGACTGCTAGATTCAAGAGACATATTTGGGCACGTCGAAATGGGTATCTCTTAGGGGCACCCTGAAATTGGTGATCCTTGTTTTAAAAAGGGGGACAAGAAGAAAGACACCCATGCTAGATGTTGTGGTGGGGTGTTCTGTTGGCCAACCCACTCAGAAAGTGAGTAACACTCTAAAACGTTTCTAGTGTCTAGGGAACCCTGTTTGTGTGATACCAACGTGTGAGTCCGAAGTTGATTCCCATCCCCAATGACTATTCTCTTCCGCCGATTAGTTTGGACCTCAGCACGGGGGTTCATTTCCCAAAGGACGATTGCTCGCAAAATGGAGGGGCTTTTTGGTTCCATGCTAACCTCCAGTATACCTTCAAGGAGACCATGCACGAGTGTTTCAGCCATCCCCCTCAAGCCTTCGGCAGCCTCGCCACGCAGTGGCCCAGTGAGCTCCGTTGAAGGTTTGTGTTGTGTATTGGGGATGAAGCGACTTGATGCGTGGCGGCCACTTCCTGGTCTTCGCTGCACAGATTCAGATGTGATTGCTTGTCAGAGTTTGGGGTGCGACTCAGCCAGCTGAGGCTTCTAACTTCTGCAGTGAACGTGGGCTGTCACATGCGTTGCATTTCAATTGAAATCCTGGCAGATGTGCTTTGGCCCCTCTTGCGTCACGCTAGGCGCTGGCTTCCAATCCTCGCTGCCCGGGACTGGGCTGCGAGACTCGTGGTTGCCCCTGTCGTGAAATTGCAGAGGTTTCCCCTTGAATTGGTGTGCTTAGGTTTTTTTTTTTTCCAGGGATTTGGCAGGGCACGTGGGTTGTTTGTTTTGGGAAGCATGTGCGGGGGCACTGCCACCGTGGCGGTTCTCAGCCGTCCCCTTAATTGTAGTTTTTTTTTTTTTGTGGTGTGGTGGCGGTTTCCGTTCAACCCACTAAAAGTCAAGCTGATAGCAGGGGATCTGAGCATAGACCTGCAACGTCTTGGCCCATCGGCCCATCTCTGAAATACGCAGATGTTTCAGAAAATATGGCGCTGTTGTCGTTGAATTGAGAAAAACAAATCAGGCCCTGCTTTAAAGCTAGTCCTTGTTGTCGCACAGTTGCAAGGTTGTTTCGGAGAGAACCATGTTCGTGCACTTTGCCAGGGGTGTTTTTGCAGATGTTCTTGGTCGTCATGGAACCCAGTCCTGCTGGGCAGGCCTTCCTGGGTACCTAGGGCACCGTTCGATCCTTGCGGGGAAATGGAGCAAGCTCGATTCCATGCCAGTCAAACGGATGGGGGCAAAGCCCTTCTCAGGTCCAGACTTCCAATTTCGTGGTGCATCAACCCCTGGTGGGCACGGTCGCGAGTGACTCACAGCACCATGCTTTTGCCACGAAACGGCGCACTGCTTACGGCAAAGGGTATGACCCCCTGGGGCATACGTTTATACATGTCCCATGGGAAATGCAAGAGACGTGCTGCAGGGGGCAGCTTTTCCCACTGCGGGGCTGAGGTTGGGCCTGGGCCTTGCAGACTCCCTGGAGGGCGCGGGCATGACGGGGGCGGCCTTCCGGCGCTGGCTCAAGGCGCGGTCTCCGGGTGGCGAGTCGCACTGGGCACTCCGGTGATCGAAGTCGGTGGGCCGTGAATTGCATCGATCTTGGGCACCGGCTCAAGGCCCTCAAAGAGACACACCCATCTCTCCATCTCTCCCCTCCCGCCAACCCAGGACACGAACACAAGGAGGATGCCCTCAGCTGACGGATAGTTTTACCCCAGGGATGCCCTCAAAGAGAGACACCCATCTACCCTCCCTAGCCCCAGGAGAAGCTGCACTCAGCGGTCACAGAGTCCTCGGGCTCCTCGGGGACTTTGCTTTGTATACCTCCGGCGCTCATGGAGCAGGAGGACGGCATCGTTGGATGCCTTGATTTTCCGGACGGTCGGCGTTCCTCCGCCGGCAGAAATACCCCCCCAAAAAAGGCTGCAAAAAGAAACGAAACCACGGGATTGAAGCCAGGTTGTTGGTTGGTATTTAATTGCGTGGGGAATCGAACCAGAAACCCGGGTTTCTGAAGGGTGGTGCGAAATGGATTTCGGATCATCCACGGTAGAGCGGCTTTTACGTTGCATCAGTGGCCTTCTGGCTTGATTCGAATCCCCGACCACCCCTGGCTTGGACGACGATTTTCCGCTCGGCGCCTGGTTTCATTCCGAGTCCGGAGGGTAGCTTCTGCGCAAATGTTCAGCTCACCGATTTGCAGTATGAGAGTGTATATATATATATATACATAATTAGTACTTTGGCCAGGTAGCTTGGGTTTGGTCTAAATGAAGTCCCGGGCAATTAAAGGTTGGACCTGAGGTTTTGTCTTTGGTGCCCCAAATTTGGGTGGTGAAGCAACCGGCAGCCCCACTTCTCTGAGAACCTGCAATGTTCCAATTTGGGCGTTTCATAGCCATACATTCCAACACACTATCCTTTGCTGCAGAAAACTGCCGCAACCCCCATGAAGAAATTGGGTGCCAAAGGAATGATGGTTGCAATGATGGGACCCCTAGAGCAGTCAGGCATCCGAACCACCCGACTTTGTGCCCATTTTAGCGAAAGCGAGAGATTTCTCCTTTTGCTTTGATGTTTCCTCGTTTCCCCGCAAAAGCCTTTGAAGCTTCTCATTTTGTGAGTGAATGATGAGTATTTACACCAAGGCTGGGTGGCATGACCTCGGGGATCCCCATGTTGACCAAAGATCGCTATATGAAGATTCACTTCATCAAAGGTTTTGTAGAGGTTGCCTGGGTGTAGGTTCCTGTTGAGTTGGGTGGCCAAGTTGCCGTCTTCACCGTCAAACAGAACTTCGGCCTGTGCCTCAGGAGATCCTGGCAGAGCTGCACGAAGCCTTCTCCCAGGACTGCGTTTTCAGGGCTCGCTCCATAGAAGGGAGACCTTCAAAGGACCCCTTACAAGCTCTAATAAAAATTCGATGATCACATTG